CAGCAGCTGCTGCTGCTGCTGCTGCTGCTGCTGGGTTCTGAGCTAAGAGAGCAGCAACAAGCTCCCGTAGAGACAGAGACTGCTCCATGCCGGCAGCAGAAAGAGGAGAATCAAAGAAGACAGAGTCCAGCTGACACAGCAGCAGCAACTCACACAGCAGCAGCAGCAGCAGATGCAGCACAAAACGAGGTGTATATACACCCCGATTAAAACACAGGTTCCATAGAGACTCCCTGTAATACAACACACAAAAAAATAAAAAAAAAAAAGAAATATACAGTGCTGCTGCTGCTGCTGCTGTTGCTGCTGCTGCCGCTGTTGCTGCTGCTGCTGCTGTTGCTGCTGCTGCTGCTGCTGCTGCTGCTGCTGTGTCTCCTCGAGGCAGAGATATCGCTTGCTGCTGCGCAGCAGCAATACGGTCAAGAAGATGCAGCAGCAGCAGCAGCAGCAGCAGCAACAACAGCAGCACCAACAGCAACAAGTGCAGCAGCAGCAGAGCAACAAGAAGAGCACCAGCCGCATCCACAGCAGCAGCAGCAGCAGCAGCAGCAGCAGCAACAGCAGCAGCAGCAGCAGAGACTCGCCCGTGTCTGATGAAGATGATTTGTTTTTGCTGCAGCACCGCAGCTTTTCCCGGCAGCAATCTGCTGCGGTGTATGTACACCTCAATGCCTTCTTTGTCTTTATAAAAAATAAAATAAAATAACCACTTTATAAACACTAAACATTTACGCATGCAGTTCAAACAAACCTGCAGACACCACACACACAAACTTCACTCTGCTGCTGCTCCTGCTGCTGCTGCTGATGCTGCTGGTGCTACTGCTGCTGCTGCTGCTACTGCTGCTGCTGCTGCTGCTGCTTCTGTTGCTGTTCATGCAGTCACTCATGATACTATGGATCTATGGTGTGGCTTTAGTTTGTCCTGCTGCTGCTGCAGCAGCAGCTGCTGCTGCTGCTGCTGCTACTGCTTCTGCTGCTGCTGCTGCTGCTGCTGTGCGGCTGCTACTGCTGCTGTTGGTGCTGCTGCTGCTGCTGCTGCTGCTGCTGCTGTGTGGCTGCTACGGACCTCTCTGACTACAGCGCGCAGCAGCAATGCATGCGCTTTGAAGATCTGTGTTTTGGATCCATCTTTGCTGACAGCAGCAGCAGCAGCAGCAGCTGCTGCTGCTGCTGCTGCTGCTGCGCTAGCTGAGTTGCTGGCGCCAGGGAACTGCTGCTGCTGCAGCAGCAACGCGTAACGAATGAGCACAGCAACAAAAAACAGAGAACCCCACAGCAGCAGCAGCAGCTGCAGCAAAGATATTCCTGGGGGCCCCTCTTCATCTGTTTCTGTTGAGGGGGCCCCTGGGGGGCCCCCCGTGTTCTCTATCATCTGCTGCAGCTGCCTATACACCCCAATTATTTTTGCTTTCTTATAGCTTTTATCTCCTAAAAAGAGAAAAAAAAATAAAAAAATTAAAAAGTGTTTATATACAACAGAAGATAGATGCAGCTGTGCTGGCTAGTGACAGACAAACTCATGCTGCTGCTGCTGCTGCTGCTGCTGCTGCTGCTGCTGCTGCTGTTGCTGCTGCAGCTGTTGCTGCTTATTTGGGGGGCCCATGCGGTGCATAAAGATATATAAATGAGTTCGTAGCGAGCAGAGAAAAACAAAAAAAAAGAAAACGAGTGGGGGCCCCCATAAGACAAACAGAGGGGGGGGGGCCCCCTAAACATACAAAGGGGGGGCCCCCAGCCGCTGGCTCTCTTTATATATACTACAATAAATAAATATAAAAAGAATAAAAAAATAAAAAAAATAAAAAAATAAATAAAAAATAAATATATTTGTGTTAATTTAGTACTCTCTTCTTTCTCGACTCCCGCCAATAACCCTAAACCCTAAACCCTAAACCCTAAACACTAAACCCTAAACCCTAAACCCTCAAACATAGAGACAGAAAAAAAGTACAACTCAGCAGGCAGCACAACAATATAGATATTTTAGAATTTATATAAACTTAAATATAAATTTTTATATTTTTATTTCTTTATACTTTCACCTATGTATGCATATATATATATATATATATATA